AAGCAAAAAAAAAAAGGAATTAAAAAGGAAGCTTGCTGAAAAAAATTGATGGGACAGAGGGTCCACTTAGTAGGGCCCTCAAGTAGCCAGGGGTTTACATAAGGTCGCAGGGCACAGAAGAAGGGGTAGAAGGAAAGTCTTGCAATGAGGACCTACTTGCATCCTTTGTAAGTTTGCTGGGAGCCAGCCTTGTGGCGAATGATGGAGACCGGGGAGGGGAGGAGGAATGCACGGGGAGGGAGAGGACTCTGCTCAGACACTTCATTTCCTCTTGGGTCCAGTTTCACATCAGAGTTTCCTATTGCCATTGTGACATGCTGCCACCAACTCAGTGGCTTTGAACAATCCAAATTTGTTATCTTATAGTTCTGGAGGTCAACAGTCCTAAAATCAAGGTTTCAGCACAGTTGAATTTCTTCTGGAGACTCTAGGGGAGAATTTGTTTCCTTGAATTTTCCAACTACTAGAGGCCACCTACATTCTTGGTTCATGGCTCCTTCCTTGTATTACTCCAACCTCTACTTCTGTTGTCACATCCATCTCCTCCTCCTCTCTCTCTCCTCTCTCCCTTTTTCTCTTGAAAGAACTTTTATGGGGGCACCTGGGTGGCTCAGTCAGTTAAGTGTCTGACTCTTGATTTTAGCTCAGGTCGTGATCTCAGGATCATGGGATTGAGCTCCACGCAGGGCTCTGCACTCAGTGGGGACTCCTTCTCTCCTTCTCCCTCTCCCTCTGGCTCTCCCCTCACTTGCACTCTCTCTCTCTCTAATAAATAATCTTTAAAAAAAATACAAGAACTTTCCTGTTTACATTGAGTCCACCTGGGTAAAACAGGATAATCTCCCCATCCCAAAACCCTTAACTTAATCACATCTGCAAAGCCTCTTTTGCTATGAAAGCTAACATATCCACAGGTGTAGGAGTTAGGATTTGGACAACCCTGGGTGAGAAGCATTATTCTTACCACAGGGTCCATATCAAACATTCACACACCAAGAGTTTAGGGATTATATTTAGTTCTAGGGGAAGGATATTGCAAAAGCTGCAATGTTGTGAGGTTGTGCATAAAGAGTCAGCTTAAAGTGTCAGGGGTGGATACGGTTGTTTTATGGAGCCTGCGGCAGGGCCCTATTAGTGAGTCACAATAAGGACCCTTAGAATTTTGCAACAGAGCCATGCCATCCTATGAAGATAATTACTCTCCTTTTCAGAAACAGCTTTTGGTTTTTTGACTTTCCACTTGACCTTAGTAGAAATAGAACATCTGACCATGGGCTACCAAGTTACCATGTGACCTAGGGTGCCCATCATGAAGTACTGTCTGACTCACCAAGCCCACAAAGTTAGGCATGCACAGTAGCAGCACTCCAGGCTCAAATAAAAATTCTATATAGAAAGCAGGCTCAAGCAAGTCTTGGAGGCACAAGTCAGTTGCATGAGGAAGTAGCTTAGATGTCCATGCCTCCCACTCCTACTAACTGCCTTCTCTCTTTCAACCTATACCTATGGCCTAATGGGCAGTCCTTTGTGAGCAGTTCCTATGGAAGAAAAAACTCAGGCTTGGTTTACAGATGGTTCTACTTAATACACGCAAAGCACAACCTGAAATTGGGCAGCTATCACACTACAGCCCCATGCTGGGCTGGCCTTGATGGACAGTGGTAAAGGGCAATCCTCCCTGTGGACAGGACTTTGAGCAATGTAGCTGGCTGTTCATTTTGCCTGGAAGGAAAATACAGCTAAGCTGAACTATGTTTCCCAGAATTAATTTTCCTGTATGTTTCTGGTTAAGATGAGCCATATTAGAGAGACCTATTTGCATGAGATTTAGAAGGTAGAAGTGAAGCAGCAGCCGTATCGTTTTTTAACCTTCACATGGTGGGGTCAAGGTACATTTGTAGCTCAAGCAAATTATCATCTCATATCATATCATATCAATTATCATTTATCTGCTGGCTCACCTTGTTGGCAGAGGGCAGCACCCAGGCCGGCAGATGCTCCACCTTCTCCTGGATTCAACACCTTCAATCCCTGAGCCATTCATTCAGCTCTGGGCCATTTTAAACAAAGGGCACTACTGTAACAAAGTTGGAGGCAGTGAACACCGACACAGGCCCCAGTTCATTCTTACAGTCCCAGCTCTTCTTGGATTCTAGCTTGTCCTTGCTCTCCACTACCTTACGTCCATTTTCCCTTCCCAATTGCCTGCTATGCTAAACTTCAAGTTTTAGCACCAAAGATGAAGATGACAAGCTCACAGAAACTATTTAACCTGTGTCCACCATTGTGTATAAGGTCAAAGCTCTGTAAAAACACACACACGCACACACAAACACACACACACACACATATTCACTTATGTAACTCTCTTCCAGGGCTCTGGAAGGGTTCCTGGGCATTATATTCTAATAATTCTATGTTTTTGTAAAAGCTGTAAAAATAAGCTATTTTTCAAATGCAGTCAACTAGTCAACTTTGCCTCCATGCCCATTACTGCTCGTCTTAGTTTTGATTTCCTGAGAAGCAGATCCCGAGACTAGGATTTAAACACAAGTAGTTTATTTTGTAGGTAATGCCAACATCATTAGGAAACATCATTAGGGGAGCAAGGAAGACAAGAAACAGAAGGGAGTTAATAAAGTGAACTTTATCAAGCAAGATACCACAAAGGGCAAAAGAGCTAAGTCCTGCTGGGGAGCTCCAGGAAATGATGTACAACACACTCTAGAAATATTCTAGTCAAGGGACTAATGAGTTGGAGTATTTATTCACAACTCCTGAGAGTTGCTGCATGAAGGCTGCTCCTGGGAGGCATTAAGTCTTCAGCTTGCCATGAACACAAGGAGAGCAGCCTTAGAGGGCAGTAACTGGCAATGGAGAGATGGGTCAGGATACAGTAAGGGCAAAGAAATATGGGCAGGACACTGACAGGATCTGTAACATTTCCAAATTTCTAGTCCAGATCTCTTTATTCTGCCCCAAATCCATAAACCAAACTGTCTACCTGGATCTCCATTATAGGATCTGCCTATAAGGCATCTCCCATCTCAAACTCCTACCCTCTCCTATTCCTCCCTGATTGCAGAAATTGGTATCACCATCCACCTAGCACCCCAAATAAGATACCTAACAGACATTTGTGACTTGCCGGTTGGTTCCCAAAATTTATTGAACCAACCTCCTCAATACTTCTTCTTGCTCTTTCCTCTCACCCCACTGTCTAAGTTTATATCCTATTATTTTTCATCTGAACTATTCCAATAATCTCCTAAATGGAGTATCTGTCCCTATTCTACTCACACTTATCTGCTATGCAATCCCCTTTCTTCAAATCCTCCAAAATCTCCTCAGGAATGTCTCCATTACCTCAAGTCAAGATTCTAAGTCTTTAGTTGAGTACGATGACCTGTTCCCTCAATTATTTCCAGCTTAATCTTTTGCTCCTTTAAATACATTATATGTGACTGCCCATAGACATGTATTCATAGTTCTCGCATGGTAAAGTCCAGTCTTTGCATATGTGTTTGCATCTGCCATATTTGTCCTTCTCCATATTACCTGCCCAGTCAACTTCTATTCATATCAAATATCACTTTCATTGCCATATTGTTCCAGACCTCCCAGGAAGACAGACATCTCTTAGGCTATGCTCCTGAAGCACTAACAATTATAGGGCTATAATCACATACCTGTTGGGTTAATAATAAAGGTATGCATGGGACTAGCATTAAGGTCTTTACCTGAAGATCAGAACATACCAGAAGTGATACAAAAAAGAAAGATACCTAATGGATAAGCATAAAATCATTCATGATAATGCTCAACATTAAATATGAAGACCAAAGACCCCTTTTTAGGAGGTCTCCTCTTCAGTCGAGAGCTCTCTTGTTATCAACAGACTCAGCTCTGGGAATCCACCATGATGGTTCAAACAAGGTCTTTTTATACAAGGACTAGATTTTATTAAGATTATGATTATTCAAATGAATGCGAGTTCTTTAGTGGACTGCCCTGATACATCTGTCATAGATTACTTTACCATTAACAAACATGATCTAATCTGATTAACATTCCTGCCCTACAGCCCCTTAACATTGTGATGCTGCTATCTCCAGGATCCCGGCATTCCCACTGAGATTAAGGAATCAAGGATAGCATCTCCTGCCTTCATCGATAGCCTACAGAGGACAGCAACTAGAGCACTTTCCAAAAATGCTGATGCTATGTTCCCAATGTATTTTTCAGCTCAGTGCTATGACAATAAGTGTCCTCTGGGGCCTTCACAGAGGAAAATAGTTTTGGGGATGGAGGGCAGGACATGCATAATAAATCCATTTCTATATCTCAATTCTCTAAGTTGTTAAATTTATTTTCTTCCTCTATATTATACCAATGAATTTCTGGTCTCTTTCATTTAGGGCATGTCACTCTTGAGGCCACATCTTAATCAACTGAGTAAATGGTTAGAAATACTGTCAGCTGCTCAAACCAGAATATTTTTTTATTTTTTACTGTTATGTTAATCACCATACATTACATCATTAGTTTTTGATGTAGTGTTCCATGATTCATTGTTTGTGCATAACACACAGTGCTTCATGCAGAACATGCCCTCTTTAATACCCATCACCAGGCTAACCCATCCCCCCACCCCCTCCCCTCTAGAACCCTCTCAGTTTGTTTTTCAGAGTCCATAGTCTCTCATGGTTCGTCTCCCCCTCCGACTTACTCCCCTTCATTCTTCCCCTCCTGCTATCTTCTTCTTTTTTTTTCTTAACATATATTGCATTATTGTTTCAGAGGTACAGATCTGTGATTCAACAGTCTTGCACAATTCACAGCGCTCACATAGCACATACCCTCCCCAATGTCTTTCACCCAGACGCCCCATCCCTCCCACCCCTCCACCACTCCAGCAACCCTCAGTTTGTTTCCTGAGATTAAGAATTCTTCATATCAGTGAGGTCATATGATACATATGTTTCTTTGATTGACTTATTTCACTCAGCATAACACCCTCCAGTTCCATCCACGTCGTTGCAAATTCAAACCAGAATATTTAACCCAAAATCTGGTAAGAGAACCTATTAAAAAAATTCAGCCCAATCTAAAATTATACACTTCCCTCTCTGAGCTAGCACCTCCAGAATCCATTCTCCCACATATTCCTCCATCTTTTGTTGCATAAATTAGCAAAACCTTCCCATTTTTATTCTCCCATATTTGACTTTGCAATTGGTTCCCTGGGATATGCTAGAGTGTGATTCCAATTGTCTAGAGACATTGAGGAAAATCGGCACCCCCTGGCAAGGTAACTATCTTTGGTGAGGTCAGAATAGCTTCACCTCACATGGCTGCTTCTGCTAGCAAGAAAAACTTAGTGGAGTTTATGGGTTCAATATCCATAAAGTTGTTTAATTATCCCCAAGTTACCATTCTTATTTCAAGTTTCTTCTTTTTTGTAAAAATCAGTTCCCTCATATTCATTAAGAGATCTGGCAAGGCTGTGAATTCCAGCTACAACGTATTTTACCAACTTACAGGATCAGACCTATGTGTCTGATTTGCAACTATGCCAGCTCCTTGATAAGAGCTATAGATCAGTCACAGAAACTCCCTGGGTTTTTGTTTTTGTTTTTGTTTTATTTTTTACCATGACTTGAGCTGTGAATTTTAAATCTTAAGCTATTATTTTCTTTCTGTAAGCCCTCTAGCACAGTTAGAAAGAACCAGTTTACCTTACAGGGTCTCACCCTGTAGGACAATCACCATACCTGCATGGTCTTACCATATCTAGGATGACTATATATCCCAGTTTGGCATCCTTCTGCTTATGTCTGTTATCTTGGAATTGTAAATGACGTTTTCTCTTTCAAAAGTGTCCCAGTTGGACTGTAAGTTATGTTTATCCTTCAAGTACCTATAGCCTACCACAACCACCACTGATACCACCAATGGATACTCAAAACAACCACAATGAAAATTTCATTATGGAATGATGTGAACTATCTGTTTCCCACTCTCTAATGCTAAGAGTCCTCCTTGGTTTTAGGCTAAACAGGGCCAAAAAATCAATACTAGATTCCCAAATTCTTCAGGGTGTATTCCCTATAACCATCTTTGGTACAAATAGGTACATGAATCAAGATTCTTAGTTACAGAATACAGAATCTACGCCAGGTATTAAAAAAAAATTCACTATAGAGTATTAAGAGGTTACAGAATTCTGAGAGGGTTGGAACCAAACCTATACTCACAGCCAAGAGTAATGCAGCCAAAGAAATGTCCAACATAAGACTGTTTTATCAGAAACCCAAATCATTGTCATTCACACTTGGCATCAAAGTTGGTACTAGACTGTAAACTTATTACCACAGCTGCCCAAGAGATTCAATTTCTCTATGCATGATCCTCTACCCCACATTGTTCCCATCTGCTTTCTAAGTTTTGTGCAAGTCATGTATGGAACCCTAGTTCATGTGTGGAAACCTAGTTAGGGAAATACAATGTACTTTTACACATAAGCTCTCTTTAACACACAAGGCATATTAGAGACGCTCTGGTGAAAATTCAGGGAAAGCCAATCTTCAGTATCTGTCAAGAACTGGAAAAGACTATGGAGAAATCCATATGTAAGAAGAGCAGTGGTGGGTGCAGAATTTCTATTAAAGAAGAGTTTAAGGGACACAATCTCACTGGAAGGGGGTTTAGGAGATTTGCCGTGAAGCTGTGTTTGCATAGCAAGCACACTGTTCTTAGCTCAGTTGCTTATTTCAAGTAGCACCTAGGAGAGTTAATGGATGTCTAATCAGACAAATGAAACAAGCCTTGGCACCACAACCAGATGGAAAAGGTAAGAAACTACAAGACTGTTACCCTCTTTCACAAACTGAACTGGGGTGCCTCTGAACAGCAAAGTAAATGACAAGAAAGCCCTTGAATAAATTGTTCTATCATATTGACAAGTGTCTTCCCTAAATAGCTCTGGGAAAGAGACTACTTTTTAAAACAAAACTGGGATATAATTTCTAAAAATGCAAACTTACAAAATACTTTAAATTCTGAACTTCCAGATAACCTTGGAATTATTGTTTCTATATTATCACATCTGAACTGGCACAAGCAAGGAGGACCAAATATGTTTTCCCCTCTCTTAATGGCATCAATGGTTTTTTCTGTCTTCCTAACTTGAAATATCCCTTTGCTTTCCAAGTAGTTTTAGGGCAACAATCATATTTACCTCTGTGGGGTTCCTGGGACTTTTTCATTGCCTCAAATCTCTCTAAGTAGGCCAGTGGATGCTCCAAAATGTATTTTTTGCATGTATTTTTTTTAAGCCTTGAGGTGAACACTTTATATCAGAAGTCAAAGAGGACAGACAGAAATAACTCTTTTCAGAGCCCACTGCGGACTTCGTGAGGAAGAGGGGCCTGCGCTATTACACATAAATTTTGCAGATCTGTTGGCTTCTCAGTTCATAGCACTCGACTCCCTGGCTCCTCAGCAGCTCCTTCTCTTCTGCTGCATCTTGAGCTTTCAACTGGGGGAAGTGGGCCGGAGAGGTGATGAAATCATAGTGCCGCTCCAGATACCGCAGGTAGATGAGCATGTGCAGAGCATAGGCCAACACCAGCAGCAGGATCAGGGACATGGCCAGGCCAATCAGAATGGCTGGTGTGAAGGAGGAGGCACAGTCTCGGGGCTTGGCAAACTGCCTCCTCTTGATGGTGAAGCCTTGGATCTGTCAGGACAAAAAGCTGAATTGACATACTCTTTCTCTCCTAAGATCTACCTCTAGTTGGGCTGAGGGTTCTGGACTCCTAGTTAACCAAATTTAAGATACTGGGGCCGTACTTACTGACTAATTTGAACACATGATCTAACAAATGTAAATGTGTTTATGGGGACAATGAAACAATTTTAAATCAAGACTGACCCAGAGTAACTACTCTAAATAAGAGCAATCATTTGTAGAAGGCAGCTCCCACACTTAGTTGGCTTTTAGAACAGAATCCTATACAACATCACCTTGGTCACCTAGTTAGTTTCAAAGGGGTACATCAGAAAACTGAATTATCCATTAGTGCTTTAAGTGAGAACTCATTTTTATGACTTAAGTGGGTGCTTTGCCATTTTTTCATGCTAAAATGCCTGTAGCCATAGAGTTTAGAGGCCTTGCCCACCCAATTGTCTGTGCACTAGACTGAATCCAAAACAGCTCCGAAAGGAGACTCTTGGCCTGGCTTCTGGGATCCTTGGCCCACTCCTCTATGAAGAGGCAAAGTGGTCTTCTCTTCAAACTAGTGCCTGAAGAGTCAAGCTCTTGATAAAATGACAAAAGATGGCCTCATTCAATGCCACAACTCCAGCCAAAGGCAATGTCCTCACATTGACTGTTATTTAATTCTTAAGACTTGGTTGAGAACAGTGTCTGTGGAGAATGCCTGAAGGACATCTTTCCATCCATTTTCTGGACTACTGGTTATAAACACACTGTATCTAGCCCACAGGTGAGTTTTGTTAGGCCCAGAGTTCTGAACATCCTGAGAATTTCCTATTAAAATCCAGACTTCTAGCTTCCATTGAAAAATTGAAGATCCAGCAACACTGAGGCTGCATTCCTAAGAATGCTTTTTGCTTCCTAAGAAGCAAAAATTAAATTAACTGGAGTTGAATAAACGTACTCTTTGTGATGCTGCTACACTTTACTGGTATCCAGATGGCCCACCAAGGGCATCTCAGTTTGCCATGCTTGGGGCATCACGCTATACTTTATTCTTTTTTTTTTTTTTTTTTTTTTACGCTATACTTTATTCTTAAATCAGATGGGCAAAGCCACCTATGTGGAATGCAGCCTTTTGTATACATACCTGAATCACTATCACCACCACCTCTTGCGTGGACTGAGCTTGCATTCCACCATCTGCTTACATCAATGGTGTTTTAACAAGGCCCACCATGACATCCACTGCTGTGTTCACTGTAAGGCTGTTGTCACAGATGTTAGCACATGCTGCACCATACGAGTGATGGATGTGCTCCCCACAAGCACGCTTCCAATAGTCTTATGAACCCCAAGAACGTGTAACTGAGCGATTCTTTCTTATACTGGATGCTCCAAAGCTTCAGGGCCAAATCACTGTGCCACTTCCAGCCAGATCAGACAGATGGTCTTGTGGTTTTGTGTACCAACCTCGCTAGTGGCTCTAATTGATCTGTTCTTCCTTTGTTTTTCTTAAGCCACATGTCTTTGCCCATTTTTTGTTTTATATTTTTTATCATAAAATATACATAACATAAAATTTACAATCTTAACCATTTTTAGATGTACAGTTCAGTGGCATTAAGTACATTCACATTATTGTGCAACCATCACCATCATCCATCTCCAGAACTTTTCATCTTGCAAACTGTAACTCCATTAAACACTAATTCCTCCTGTCCCTCTTCCGGGGGACAGGAGGACTACTGTAGATACTTCATGTAAGTGAATTCATACAAATATTTGCCCTTTTGTTCCTTTCACTTAGCATAGTATCAAAGTTCATTCATGCCATTGCCAAATCTGAATTTCCTCCCTTTTCAAGGCTGAGTAATATTCCATCACATGTATACACTAGCCTTTTTCATTCATCCATTGATGAACATTTGGGTTGTTTTCATCTTGTGGTTATTGTCAATAATGCTGCTATGAACATGGGTATACAAGCATCTGTTCAAGTCCCTGCTTCCAATTCCAATTCCCAGAATCACATGGTAATTCTATATTTAATTTTTTGAGGACCTACCACCATACCATTTTCCACAGAGGCTACACCATTTTAAATTCCCACAACCAATGTACAAGGGTTCTAATTTCTCTACATCCTTGCCAACATTTGTTATTTTCTGTTTTGGGTTTGCTTGTTCTCTTATAATAACCATCCTAATGGGTGTGGTTTGTGCATTTTTCAAAGTCAGTTTTCTTACAGTGTTTCTCTAACTCACCCTAAGTCATTTCTGAAACAAGGAAGAGGTATAAGTCGGTCAATTCCTCTGTTCTCATCAAGCAAGATTATGTGTGAATTATTCTTTGTTTTTGTTATTACTTGGGCCTGCTTCTCTTTTTAAAGTGCAAGTGAGAGAAATATATATAATATGTACTTTTTAAATATTGATAAATACATATACATTATATATATTATAAAGTGCCTCTGAAGTCAGTGCAGAATTCAAATTCTGCTTCTACCATTTACAAGTTATATCACTTTGAAAAATTATGTAATCATCAGACCTTCAGTCATCGCATTTTTAAAACAGGGATAACAACAGCAATCTTGCAACATTATAAGTTTTGAAGACAAAGTATGTAAAACAACTACAACAGTGCTGACACACAGGGCAGGGGACTCATAAGTAGTACTGTTAATCCATGCCTGACACAGTCCTTGCTGTTGCCACATAATAAGGCCATGACTTCTTTACATTCATAAAAGAAAGGCCAGAAATCAAGAGGGTGAAGTAGTTTGCCCAGGTAGCTGACAAGCAATTTGAAACCAAGTCTTTCTTTCAAACTCCAAAATGCAAGCTCCTTCCCTACCCCAAACTGCACACCTCTCCAAACTGGGGGGAAGAATAAGTAAATCCATTTACATTTGGAAAAGATTGGAAAGTGCCCATAAGAGGGACATGCAAAACCGGGCCTATTTCAGTGAGTTGGAAGAGCGAGTGAAGCTTTCTTCACAGGTAAACAGGACAGAGGAAGTTGACAGATGTCTTTCTGCCTGAGATTCTGGTGGTGAAAAGAAACATCTAATGCCCCCATGCCTTTCCCCAAATACTTTCAAGAGGATCTCTGGGGTATTTTTGACTCCTTAGCTGACAGTTCCATTCCTGTGCTAACTGCCAAAGCTGTCACTCATGCTACAGATGTACTTCTTATCTGTCCTGATAGGATCACTGCTCCACTCCCTGAAGGAAATAAAATAATTACCTAACAGTTCCTCTCCCCAGAAGGGCCTCTCACTCCAGGAAGTGTCAGTCACTGGGCTTCATGCCACAGCTTCACTCCAGCTTAGATTGCTGGCATTCCTCATTGATAATTATTAGTGACTGCAGAAATGTGACTGTAAAAGCAAGGTGGGGGGCAGGGGGCGGTGCGTAGGGTGTGGGTAGTGCACAGGGAGAGGAAATATTCTATCCTATTCCACTTCATGACTTAGAAGATAAAGAAAAAAATACCAATATTATTTTAAAGGTATCCATTCCTCTCTTTTCTCAAAACATCTATATTTCCGGTGTTTTCAAATACTGAGTTTCTTTGGCACCAAATATACAGGCGCACTGAGCATATGTTTTAGTTCATTACCTGGAAATCAACAAAAGTGACCTCCCACAGGTTTGCCGTGTCATCCGCGTAGCTGGGCAACAAGAGGGCATCATACCGTGGCAGGCTGCTGACACGGTGGCAGTGGTAGGAATAACTTGACGGAGCATAGATGCCAGTTGCATTAAAAGTTGCTTGGATTGAATTATTGAAAATAATCTCGACTCGCTGCAGACTAAACCAGCTCTGGAGGTACAACTTGTTGTAACTGGTAAGGGTGAATCTGAAAATGATTACAAACAGTATTACTCCTAAAGCACTTGGATATTTGCTGACACAGGAAATCATCTATGAGCAGTGCAATTGCACCCTCTTTTGTCAGGTAGCAGAACTGGCTCTGAGAGAGTTTCCTTCTAGTGCTGAAGCAGTCTCCTGATAGGTTTGAACGAAAGCAAAAGACAGAGCAGACCCCAAAAGTGGACAGTACAAATTCCTTCAAAAAGAAAAACACAAAAAGTTTGTTTTAATTTCATTTTTTAAATCAAAACTTGGTTTTATTATAGCAAAAAAAGTTGAAAAAAACTAAATTCTAAGCTAATATAGAATTAGCTAAGTAAATAATGGTCAAAAATAACCCAAAGAGAGCTTTTACTGTGTCAAGCACCCTTCTATGTTCTTTATGTGTATTTTATTTAACATGAGAAAGATACTATTATCCTCATTTCACAGGCGAGGAATCAAGACACAGAGGGGTGAAATAAATGGCTTGTGCAAGTTTACTCGGAGATTAAGTATTGGAGCTGGGCTCCAAATCCAATTTGAGACTACAGTCTTTACTCTTAGCCATTTTAGAATGGAATATTCTCCAGCAATGAAAAAGTTATAATATGCCATGATCATTTTTTCATTAAAAAACAAACATGTGACTGTGTAGAAAAAAAATTCTGGAAGGACAGAGATCAAATGTTAATAATGATTACAAATGGTGATTAAATTATGAATGATTTTCAAGTTCTTTTTATAAATAAACATTTTCTGATTCTTTTTGTTTTCTGGTCATGTATTGGACTCTTAGAGAAGCAGACTCTGAGACAATGATGTGAAGAGAAGAAGTATTTGGGGAAGTAGTCCCAAATTTTTTTAAAGATTTTATTTATTTATTTGACAGAGAGAGACACAGCAAGAGAAGGAACACAAGCAGGGGGAGTGGGAGAGGGAGAAGCAGGCTTCCCATGGAGCAGGGAGCCCAATGCGGGGCTTGATCCCAGGACCCTGGGATCATGACCTGAGCCAAAGGCAGACGCTTAACGACTGAGCCACCCAGGTGCCCTGGTAGTCCCAGATTTATTTGGGAATTCAAAATATGTCAAATGGAGAAAAGAAAAGAAAAATGACAGAGGAATGGAAGACACCCCAAAAGGACACATTATTAAGCAAGTTTCCACTGTGGACAAGTGCAGTTTGATGCTCATGGGGTACACTGGGAATGAGGGTAGTTCACATGCTTGTTATCTGACCTGAGGCTCAGGGTGAGGGAGCTGGGGTATTTATACACTTCTTTCAGTCATTGGTTGAGACTTGCTGGGGTAGGGATGGGAGGCAGTGGACCCTTTGGCTTAAGGAAGCTTTTAGGCAAAGAAAGGCTGGCAGTTCAAAGTTGAGCTGGTATAGTGCTCTCAAATGGAAAAAGCCCAAAGTGATATAGATGGGGTACTGACAGCATCTGCTGCATTCCTTCATCAAAAGAAAAAAATAATAATCATAAAGTTATTTTCCTTTTGGGGAAAAAAAGTGCTATTTGAATAAAAACTACTCACTTATATCAAACAGATATGTATATTTGTGTTTGTATGCTTGCTCACCTTGTGGGATTCTATTTTCCTTATAAAGTTTATCTAAAAGATGATGACATGTATTTTCTAAATTATAACCAGTGAAACACTAGTGGTTCCATGATATGTAGGCAAATATTCTGAGGAAAGAGCTTTCTAAAGTAAATATAGGAAAAGAGGTTAATCAGTCACCAAGTGTTGCAATCTTCCTTAAAAGCATGTCTTCACAGTAAATTTAATATACAAATTTATACTGTGAATCTCCAAGAGGAGGACATGGTGTGCAGTCTTTCTCAAACACATCTGACCACAGAACCCCTTTCCTGAGGAATCTTATAAATATTTTTACATAGCAGAAGTGTTCCATAGAACACAGCTTAGGAAAGACTGTCCTAGCACATCCTACTGGTTTTTTCAAGTAATGTTAAAGACATAGCTGTTTATCTCCACTAAAACATTGGTCCTATAGGAACAGAAACATTTTATTTTCATAAGAAAAAAAATATAATGCTTTGACATTGTCCTCACTCCTGGAGCAGTTCCTAACTACTTGAATAAACCACTGTTGGCAGATGCATTCTTCCACACATTAACACAGCAAAATGTAGGCCTGGGTTATCTGCTGGGAAATTCAGCTAACAGAGAGGTTTTTTGTTATTATAAAGTGATAAGTGTGATTTATTGTAAGGCACGATATAGAAAATAACTTCAAACCAGAGCTTCAGCTTTGGAGCTTTACATATATTTTTTGCTCACAGGAAAAGAGTATCACATTTTCAGGTTCATGTAATTTCTAAGTCCTAACTGAAGAAGGAAAATCTATACAGATGCTTTGGTAGAAACTAAAGAAATCATCACTATAGGATCCCACCATAATATTGCTGACTTTGCATAGTTAGTTATATGTGGCATTTCACATGTCACAGTGCTTGGCACATAGCGGGCCCTTGATACTACATGTTGAGTGAGTAAATTATATGGAGCCAATATGAAGTGCTGAACCTATAACACTCCAAAGTAATATCCATACCTACCTTATATCAAGACCTTTGGGAATTTCAGCATCAACAAACTTCAGAGACAAACTAAGAAAACAGAAACAACACAGTCCATCAAAATAGAAATAACCTTTACTTCACACTATACTAAAAAATTACCTCAAAATGGAAAAACTAAAACAATAAAACTTATAGAATAAACATATAGCAATTTTGCAATCTTGGACTAGCCAATGGTTTCTTGAAAAAATATAGAACCATAAGAGATTCTTAATCATAGGAAACAAACTCAGGGTTGCTGGAGGGGACAGAGGTGGAGTGATGGGGTAACTGGGTGACGGACATTAAGGAGGGCACGTGATGTAATGAGCACTGGGTGTTATATAAGGACTGATGAATCACTGACCTCTACTTCTGAAACCAATAATACATTATATGTTAATTAAAAATAAACTAAAAAGATTAGAAGTATGAAATATAAAGAAAAAATTTATATACTGGAGTTTATTAAAAATTTTTACTCTTCAAAAGACAGTGTTAAGGGGCACCTGGGTGGCTCAGTCGTTAAGTGTCTGCCTTCTGCTCAGGTCATGATCCCAAAGTCCTGGGATTGAGCCCCGCATCGGGCTCCCTGCTCTGCAGGAAGCCTTCTTCTCCCTTTCCCACTCCCCCTGCTTGTGTTCCCTCTCTCACTGCCTCTCTGTCAAATAAACAAATAAAATCTTAAAAAAAAAAGACAGTGTTAAGAAAACAAGAAAGGCAAGCCACAGAACAAGAGAAAATATCCACAATACATATACACAAAGAACTAGTATCCAGAATAAATAACACTAACAACTCAATAATAAGAAGACAACTTAACTTAAAAATGGTGAAAAGAGCAGTCCACAAAGGAAGATATACATATAGTTAATAAATACATGAAAAAAATGCTCAGCATCTTTAGTTATCAGTAAAATAAAACCACAATAAGATAAAAGCATCATGGTACAGTAATCGAAATAATTAAAACTTTTTTTAAGAATCTACTCTTTGGGCACCTGGGTGGCTGAGTTGGTTGAGCACCCAACTCTTGGTTTCCACTCAGGTGGTGATCTCAGGATCGTGAGATCAAGCCTTGTGTCAGCCTCCACAACGGAAACGGAGCCTGCTTGGGATTCTCCCTCTACCTCTGTCCTTCCCCTGCACTTTTGCTCTCAAAAAAGAACCTACTCTTAAGCTCTTAATATCATAGTTACTCACATTTTTCTGAAAGTTAACATGAGATTTCCTGGATGTGAGACAGAGTATTAGTAATTCATAGCAATAACCACATTGGTTCCCCTTTTAACCCAATTCTTCTGCCTGGGCAACAGGATGAGAGCCAGATGTCATCCTGTACATACTGGGATTTGTAATACAGGTGAGGAACACCAAAATTGTGAATCTGGGAATCTTTTAGTTTATGTAAAAGAGAGACAGAGATCCCCCTTAACCCTGAGAAAGGGAAACATTTGCTTCCTTAGTGTCAAAAATTTTCCTTGGCACGTGAAAAGAGAAGAGTACCAGGTACCTACCTCACAACATAAGCTGATGAGTTTTATCAGCCTCTAGATGGGAATAAATAGGTCACCATAAAGGTGAATGTAAATAATTGTCTCTAAGAGGAAGACAAGCAGCCTCTGTGGGTTTCCAAGTGCTGGAGTACTTCCATGGTCCTGAGGTTCATTACTTCTTTTTTTTTTTTTTTTTTCAAATTATAGGCTATGTTTTTCAGATTTATTTTCAAGTTTACATTGCCTTGTATATTGTTTCAGAAAACATATATATCATGCATATACATCTTTTTTTATTATGTTATGTTAATCACCATATATTACATCATTAGTTTTTGATGTAGTGTTCCATGATTCATTGTTTGCGTATAACACCCAGTGCTCCATGCAGAACGTGCCCTCCTTAATACTCATCACCAGGCTAACCCATCCCCCCACCCCCTCCCCTCTAGAACCCTCAGTTTGTTTCTCAGAGTCCATAGTCTCTCATGGTTCGTCTCCCCCTCCTAGTCCCCCCCTTCATTCTTCCCCTCCTTCTATCTTCTTTTTTCTTTTTTTTTAACATATAATGTATTATTTGTTTCAGAGGTACAGGTCTGTGATTCAACAGTCTTACACAATTCACAGCGCTCACCATAGCACATACCCTCCCCAATGTCTATCACCCAGATGCCCCATCCTTCCCACCCCCCATCACTCCAGCAACCTTCAGTTTGTTCCCTGAGATTAAGAATTCCTCGTATCAGGGAGGGCATATGATACATGTCTTTCTCTGATTGACTTATTTCGCTCAGCATAATACCCTCCAGTTCCACTGGCATCATTGCAAATGGCAATATTTCATTCCTTTTGATGGCTGCATAATATTCCATTGTATATATATACCACATCTTCTTTATCCATTAATCTGTAGATGGACATCTTGGCTCTTTCCACAGTTTGGCTATTGTGGACATTGCTACTATAAACATCGGGGTGCATGTACCCCTTTGGATCCCTACATTTGTATCTCTGGGGTAAATCCCCAGTAGTGCAATTGCTGGGTCGTAGGGTAGCTCTATTTTCAACTTTTTGAGGAACCTCCATACTGCTTTCCAGAGTGGCTGCACCAGCTTGCATTCCCACCAACAGTGTAGGAGGGTTCCCCTTTCTCCGCATCCCCGCCAACATCTGTCATTTCCTGACTTGCTAATTTTAGACATTCTGACTGGTGTGAGATGATATCTCATTGAGGTTTTGATTTGGATTTTCATTACTTCTTGACAGGTAAACACATTGGTCTAAGGTGGTAAATCTCTTACTAAACCCAAGGCTTATCTTTTAACCCAAGTCCCAGTCAAATTTGTTCAGAAATTGCTAACTATGCTGAAACAAAAATATTTTCTTTACAGTCAGTGACCATACCAAGTGTCAGTAAGGATGTAAAGCAACTGGAACCTCCTCATACAATGCTGGTGGAAAGGTAAATGGTACAATGACTTTAAAAAACAATTTGGCGGTTTCTTAAAAAGTTAAACATGCACATACCATATGATCTAGCCATTCTACTCCTAGGTATTTAAGAAAAATGAAAATATACACTCTTACGAAGCCTTGTACATGAATGTTTAAAGCAACTTTCCTTGGAAAGCTATTTAAAAACTGGGGCAAAACAAATTTCCATCAAGAGGTGGATGGATAAATAAGTTGTGGTATATCCATATAATGGAGTACTTACCACTCAGCAGTTAAAAAGAAACATCACTTTGAAACATGTAACAATGTAGAATATCAAAATCATCAAGCTAAGTGAAAGAAGCCAGACTAAAAGAGACTATACACCATATGACTATATTTATTTACTTATTTATTCAAGATTTTATTTATACGTTTTAGAGAGAGTGTGTATGAGCAGGGAGGGGCAGCAGGAGAAGGAGAAAGAATCTGAAGCAGACTCCGCACTGAGCACAAGCAGGGCTTAGTTCCCCAACTGCAAGATCATGACCTGAGCCGAAACCAAGAGTTAGACATTTAACCAACTGAGCCACCCAGGTGCCCCTATGTGATTATATTTATAGATAATTCTGGAAAATGCAAACTCACCTATAACTATAGAGAGCAGGTCAGTGGTTACCTGGAGGGCTGGGAGTGGCAGGAGGGAAAGATTACAAAGGGGCACAAGGAAACTTTGGAGGGTGATGAAAATGTTTGCTGTTTTGATTGTAGTAATGGTTTTGTGGGTGCACAAATATGTCAAAACTGATCAAACTGTACTTTAAATATGTGCAGTTTAGTGTATTTTATTTACATTTCAATAAGGCTGAAAAATAAGAACGAGAAAAAGCTAAATAACTGAAATGAGAAAATGTGAAAAATTTAAATACAGAAAGGATGATGCAGCTATGTGACATTATAATGTCTAGAAATTATAACAGCTCAACATACATTATAAAACCAAAAAAGCAAAAGTGGATAGCCATAAAACGTCCAATTACAAGCTTGAAAAAAACATCACACAAATGTAATCTCATTTATTTAGTCCTACTTATCAAGAAACAGAAATGTCAGCGATTGAGCTGAAATTTATCGTCATACTATTTATGGGGAAAGGGGAAGGGTATTTACAAAATAAACCAGATAAAGTTACTAGGAGAATTATCTTTTTTTTCTAACATTATAAGCTTAGACACCTTAGAAGCATTCATTTATGAACACTTTATAAGCTAATTTATTCAGTAAAGCAGGTCTCCAAAAGGGCCTTTCTCTAAGACTATTCTGATAGCCTGTTACAAAGTACTTAAAATACTTTAAAGAAATAAAATTTATTTCTTGAATAGTATTTTACAAGTTCGACTGGTCACTTATTTTAACAGAAATTTCTCCACTTCTTCCAAGGAATCAGAATAGCTTAGCTATCCATAAAATGACTCTGTAGCTGTTGAACTAAACCTCAAAGCAAGGCCATACTGAGTCCACCTAACTGCTGTCCCTTTTTCCCGATGGAGCAGCTCAATGGCCTCTAAGCTTCTGACACTCCCAAGAGCTTTCTCCAGCAGTCCTGGTTTCAGTGAGAGCTGTTAACATGCTCTGCTGCAGAGTAAAGAACATGCCTGATTTCAACAAAGCAAATTCAACAACGATTCAGTGAGACTCTTCCAAGAGCCAGGCATTGCACCATAACCTGGGAACATGAAGGAGAAATACAATCTAGCAAGTCACTCAAAAAAGAACTGCTTTTACTCTTCCAAGCACCCTAACCTCCCATGTTTAAAACAGACTCTGAGGGACGCCTGGGTGGCTCAGTTGTTAAGCGTCTGCCTTCGGCTCAGGTCATGATCCCAGGGTCCTGGGATCAAGCCCCGCATTGGGCTCCCTGCTCTGCGGGAAGCCTGCTTCTCCCTCTCACACTCCCTCTGCTTGTGTTCCCTCTCTCACTGTGCCTCTCTCTGTCAAATAAATAAATAAATAAATAAATCTTATTAAAAAAAAAAAAAACAGACTCTGTATTCTTCAGACTATAATTGCCTAAGTTCAAAATACCCCCAGATGCTCAGATTATGCTCTATATTCACTATTTAAAAAGATTTCCGTAGCAAATCTGTCTGCCAACAACTTGCCTTTCCCTGAACATTTTGTTTCCAAGCATTAAAACAAGGTCACCTTTTTTAAATCTGTGCTTTTGACCTTACATGGTTATGTCTTTACTTGGATTTATTCTTTCAGCAACTCCCTCTCTGGTTCTTGAGAACCTAAGATTTCCTTGCCAGCATAGCAAAGGCATCTCACTAATGTCCATGATTCACAGGAATGAGGGATGGTCTCAGTATCTGGTCCCTGCATGCCTCATGTACTGGGAAGCCTTCCATTCATCCCCATGGGTGGGCTGTCCAAGATGCCCACACACTCGCCTGAACAGGACTCCAGGAGGTAGATGCTGCTCACTCAGGACTCATCCGAGTAGAATATGTAGGTGGTGACCAAGAAGAAAACCAGGTCCCACCCAATCATTCCTTTGTGCATTGTGAAAACCAAAGCTTCCCTAGGTCTCTCCACCAGGTAACCAGGCATAGACACTATTTTACTCTGGTTATCATTAGTATGTTAGGAAGATAATACTACTACTTCGAGTAGCACTTGAAGAGTTCTCAAAGTTCTCGTCCATACATTTCACCGTTTGATTTTCACAGTGCTATGAGACAGGGCCAAGAAAGAGAAGGTAAAATATCATTGTTAAAGACATTTTAGGCCCCAGCTCTATTACCAAATAAGCTGTGTGATCTTATCAAGTTTCTTAACCTCTAGGAGCCTTGATTTTGGATGGTAACAGTCTGTGACTCAATAGTACTCTGAGGAATAGCAGATATTGTGCCTGTCAAGTCCTCGCACTGTGCCTGGCCCAAAGCAAGTGCCTCAGGCCTGTTACAATTAATAGATATCATTATCTCCATTCACAGATGATGATCCTATGGCGGCTCCTATTTGTAAAGTCACAACGCGCACTGCACTGGCAGAACTGGGACAAAAAGCCAAGTTTTCATTCTTTCTGTCTCTGGGTTCCCAGGGATCATTAAGATTTCTAAAGCCCAGCAAAAAAGTGTGGTGCTCTGATCTTCCCCACAAATACCCAGGGGTAAGAATAAATGGAATCAAGGCGGGCCAGTCAGCCACAGATAGGCAAGATGATCCCCAGGCAATCAGCCTCTCTCCAGGCAGCTGGCCACAAATAAAGAGCCCTGTAGGGAATTAATTAGAGCCCAAGGGAAAAAGGCCCAAGCTCTCAACAGTGCTGGAGTCTCTTCGGTAGTCTGTGCTGCCACAGAATAAACAAATCTGGGAGGACTCTGGATGCTTATACTTACATTTCCTTAATTCCCTAATAAGAGATAATCACTCTGAATAGCAAGATACTCACTAAAACTTGTAATATTAATACAATCCACTTTTACCCATCACCAATAATTTTTAAATGAAAAGTAAAGTTCAGGAGTAAAAAAGTATTTCCAGCCCAAATATATAAAATGAATACCCCCCACACACACACATACACACACACACACACACGCACGCACACAGAGTATACAAAGCATTCTGTCCATCTAAACCAGGCCAGGACAAATGCAGACAATCTTCCAAAAGCTTTCATTACACTAGCAAATGTTGAAAGCAAGGAGATTTACAGAAAGCAAGTGGGATATGCCAGACTTACTCTTCCTCGACCAAAACAAATACAAGCAAAAACTTTTTGCTTGGATGACTAGAAAGCAGAGAAAGGTATGGGAAATTGATTTCCTCTTCAAAAGGGATATTTATTTAATCTGCTTATCTCAAATCAAAAGGAATTATTAAAATCATTTTGAACAAATGTCCTAAAGAATTCTCTGAAATATGGCCATTTAAAGGTACCCTTGCACATATGCAAACTGGCAACGTCCCACAACTTCAGAACACTCCCTCGAATCAGAAATCTGCCCTGGCTAGAGTCAGCCTTCTCTTTTTTCACCCACTAGAAGATGTATGACTCTGCTCCATGATGCATGATTTCCTCCTGCTAGGACGAAAGTAGTATGATACCTCACATTTGAAGTTGATACCATGCCTGGAATCTCGTTCATTTTTCAGAATGAATTTGGAAAACCTTCACATTTACAACTCTGATTTTCCTCAAGGTATTGTAACAAGAGAATTGCTGGGGGGAATTTTTTTTCAATTAATTTCTGACTTTTTTCTTTTATTTTAGACATTAAACATTTCATAAGAGATGCGTTTCAAGTTCACTACAAATGAACCTACTTGTACCATTTTCTGAATCGTCAGAAAACTTGACCATCCAGTTAACAGATTACAATCGCCCTAAGGGCCTCCAGCAAAGCAATCAACTTACATGGCACTTTCTTCACTGCAATTTGAGTTGCTAATGTCCACTGTTGCCGCCTGGCCAAAAGCTTCATCTGTAAGGTCCAGCCAGGTCTGATTCTTAAATTTTACTGTTATTCCTTTGGCCCAGAAAAGAATGCAGGGAATTCCATCCATGGAGACATTGATTGGGCTATGATGGCTGAATGCATTCCAAGGTTCTTTTTCTAAATGTCCTTGTCTGCTCGGAGTGTAGCTGAGAGTCTAGTTAACCAAATAAACAAAACTTAAGAGACAGGTTTGTTTCCCTGGCACAAAAGGTTTCTTGGAGTAAAAGGACTAATTTACAACCAGTTGAAACTTTCATCTCTCTCACTCCAGAGTCCATGTTACTGTGGGACAAAGGAGATGATAGGTGGGCCCATCTTAATCATTTAACAAGCCAAAACTGATAGATATATCTGAAAGGTCTATGAGCCTAGTTCCACACAGCACCCAAATTGGAAAGGGCTAAATTAAAAAAAAAAAAAAAGCCGACTTTGCAAATAATAATATTAGCAATATAGACTCAAGAAGTTTCCAGGCTGGGAGAGAGAGTGGGGATGAATAGGTGGAGCCTATTCAGATTTTTAGGGCCACGAAAGTATTATTCTGTAAAATACCATAATGGTAGGTAGATATCATTATACATTTGTTAAAACCCATAAAATGTACAACACAAAGAGTGAATCCAAATGTAAACTATGGACTTTACTTAATAATAATGTATCAATATTGGCTTATCAACTTTAAGAAATATACCACAATAACACAAGATGTTAAACAAAGGGGAAACTCAAGGCGGAAGGGATTGAGGGAGCATATGGGAACCTTCTATTTTGTTCAATTTTTTCTGTAAACCTAAAACTACTCAAAAAAAAAAAAAGTCTAGGAATTAAAAACAAAAATTCACCACGCCATGAACTAATGGCAGTAATCTATCTCTTCAGAAAATAGGAACCCAAATAAGGCAAGATTTTAAAATAAAGAAATTAATATGTTAAGCAAACAAACATAACAAGAAGTTTCTAGCTATCAAGCCTAATTCTCCAGACCACTAATATCCAATAGAACATTCTGCAACATTGGGTATGTTCTATACCTGCACTGTCCCGTGTAGCAGTCACTGGCTTTCTGTACCTATCATGGCACTGGAAATGCGGCCAGTGCAACTGAGATTAAGTTTTTAATTTTACTTAACATTATTTCATTTGAATTTAAATTTAAATAGCCCCATGTGGCTAGTGGCTACTGCCTTAGACAGTCTCTCCAGATCATGTAATATACAAAAACTAGCAGGGTCTTCTAACATCATTCTTCATCTTATGAAACCTGAGGCAGCCTGAGACAATGCACTTCAGTACTTGACTCTAGAAGTCACAAATATCTGACAGAAGATCCATTTATCTAGATCAACTAGTCCATACTGATTACTCCAATATTAGTACAGATAAAAGAGAAATTAAAGAGGCAGCAGCAATCCAAGCTTACCAGGAACCAAAGATAAACTGTTACTATAGTGATCCTGTCTGGAAAGCAACAAAAGTAAAACTGAGTATTGTAATGAAAATATACAAGAACAAGTAAAACTTTAGTTTTTTATTTACTAGAAGACTACTATAATACATTTCCCCATCCAAAACTTAAGCAAGAATGTTAGTTATTAACAAAAGTATTATTTATATTTTCACAGACCTGATTGAAATGTGTTTAAAAAAAAATTTTTTTAAAGATACAACCTAGTTTCCTAACATATCCATACCTGTGTGATTGGTATTGTTGTGAAATTCTGGATTGGATTCATATCTCCATTACTCAGCTGATCTGTCAAATAAATGATATGAGTACAAAGGCTAAATGTCACTGATTTATTAATGTACCTGAAAGATACGAAAATGCTAAGCACCGTAAAATATGCCAGGCTTGAGCCTCTTCTGGCTCATAATTTGGAATACACCAGTTTAAGAGATTTTTACATGTAAGACTCCTGCTCCAATCACCAGTATTCAGTGAAGCCCACCACAAACAACACCCTTCTCCTCAACCCTTCAAGGAATCATACGGGCAAATACAGGTCTTACCGTTTATAACCACTTCTCTATTTGAAGATGTTCGAGAGATGAAACTAGAAAAAAACAAAAATAAAAAGATGCTGAACAGATATCTATATATCAGATTTCATAGGAAGTTTTAAGGAGGATATTTCAGTTTATTACATCTCAAGAGAAGACAGAAACTTACGTGTCAAAACTGTCCACTTTTTCATACTGAATTTCTGATTTAAAAAAGTAATATATGTTCTTCAAAGAAAATAAGAAAAAGTCAGAATTTTTTTTAATTTGTAAATATAAACCCTAATTCTTATCCATTGAGTATTATTATTGAGGGCCTACCATGTGCCAAGTTATGTACTAAACACTGAGGTCTAACCAAAATAAATAGTAACCAAATAATAAAGCAAATAAATAATGAAACATAAAATCTTTTACAGTGAAGTTTTATACTTATTGTACTGTTACCATATTAAAGCAAAAATATTCATTTTTTTATTAAAAAACAAGACAGACTCTATTGCCAACTTTTTCTGAAAATTATGGGGATATAAATTATATATCCTTCCAGTGTTTCACTCTACACACACACACACACACACACACACACAGATGTACACACACAACACACATAAATTTACTTTTTATAAAATTCAAAAACAGGTATGTGTAAACAGCCTGTTTTGGAGCCTGCAAAATTTTTTTCAACTTAAAAATATATCACAAATATTTTCTCATGTAATTATATATTTTTCCGACATAATTTTTTTTAACTTTTTAATTCCCATTAGTTAACATACTGTGTTATATTAGTTTCAGATGTACAATATAGTGATTCAACAATTCCATCCATCACCCGGTGCTCAACATGATTTTCTGACATAATTTTGAATTCCATGTTGGTATTACATCACCACAAATGTATCAATTTATTCAACCAAATTCCTATTATGTATTTAGGTTGTTTCCAATTAACAGACTATACTACATTGAACCTTATTGTGGAGTGTTTGTTCATACCCCCAAGAAGTTCCTTAAGATAAATTCCTAGAAGTGAAACTGCTAACTTAGAAGATCTACGCATCTTTTTATCATGGAATATTGTAAACACATACAAATATAAACAGAAAAACATAAGCCCTCTCCCCACCCCCATGTCCTTGTACCCACCATCCAGCTTTAGTAATTATCAAGGTATAAGCAATCTTGTTTCAACTATAAGCTCACCCATTTCCCCTCTCTGGTATTATTTTGAAGGAAATACCAGAAATTAATATGATTTAAGTATGTATTTCTAAAAGATAAGGACTTTTTAAAATAACTGCCCAATTATATCTAGAAAATATTAATAATTTCTTTAAAACTATCATGCTAGTGCTTAAATCTCTGATTATGTCATAAATGTCATAAAAATTTTGTTTACTGCCTATTTAAAATTTTTCAGAACTTGTACCTTGTAGTATATAAGAATGCAGATCAAACTCTGTATTTAAGCGATTGCTATCCAAGACCTATATGTATAATTGTTATATAAACTCAATATATTTACAATTAGAGAAATATATATATATATATATATTACATACCATGGTCCATATGCAAAACATAACTTTAGTTCAAGAGTTACTAAATCTGTAACATAAAGTGCTTTAAAATGAATTATATGGAACCAATTACACAATGAATGCACCATTCTCTTGGTAATACAATCTCTATTATCTAATGAGAATTTGTGAAGATGACAAGTTGGTGACCATGATATCTACTCATTGCTGTTAATAAATTCATGCATGCATACAAACTTATTCTCACTTTATCAACTTTACTGAGATATAATTTAAGTACAATAAACTACACTGACTCAATGTGTATAACCTGACGAGTTTTGGCATACGCATATATCCATGACACACCACCATAATAAAGATACAGAATATTTACAAACCACAGAAGTTTCCCCATGCACTCTTGCAGTAAAGAGATGTTCCCTCCACTTTCAGCCACAGGAAAACTAAGTAATGGCTTTCTGTCACTTTAGATTAGTTTGCATTTTCTAGAATTATAAATAGAATCATATATATTCTTCAGTGCTTGGCTTCTTTCAGTCTAAATATAATGATTGGAATTCTCTGATGTTGTTATATATATTAATATCTCATTCCTTTTCATTACTGAGAAGTATTTCATTGTACGGATATACCACATTTTGTCTCTCTAGGCATCCACTGATGGACATTTATGGTGTTTTGAGTTTGGGGCTACTACAAATAAAGATATAAATATATTTGTGTACAGGGCTTATATGGAATATTTTTTGGATTCTCTTGAATAGATACCCAGAAGAATGGCTGAGTCATATAGTAAAAGTTTAACTTTTAACAAAACTGCCAGTTTCACTATATGAGCTTTTCTGTGGCTCCACATTCTTGTAATATTTGTACTGTAAATCTGTTCAATTTTATCCATTCTCATAGGTATGGGTTGCTATCATATTGTAGTTTTCTTTTCCATTTCCCTGATGACTAACGAGAATGAGCATCTTTTCGCCTATTGACCATTCATATATTTTCTTATGTGAACTCTGTGTTTAAATCTTTTATCACATTTTTAATTAAATTAACTGTCTCTTCTTATTGAGTTGAAAGAGTTCTCTGTATGGATACAAGTCCTGTGTCAGATACATGCATTGAAAACATTTTCTTCCATTGTCTTGCTTTTTCATTTTCTTAATGGTGACTTTCAAAATGGAAACATTTTAATTTTCATAAAGTCTAATGTATTTGTTTTTCTTCTTCTATTGTCTATGTTTCTGGGTCTAAACCATTTTCTTAACATAACGTCACAAAATTTTCTCCTGTGTTTTATCTAGAAGTTTTAAAGTTTTAGCTTTTACATTTAGCTCTGTTATCCATTTTGAGTCATATTTGTGAGATGAGGTACTTGTAACATTTTAGAACCTGGATAAAGAAAATGTCCTATTAGTTTCCAAAAATTAGAAAAAAAAAAACAAACACAAGAATCATACAAGGATTCGGAAAATGTCTCTCTCACACCCCTTCACGGACGCTAGAGGAGGATGTGCTCAAGCAAAGTGAGAGGAAACCAAGAAAGAGGAAACTGAGGCACTAATCAACAGAGACTCTAACTTAGAAGGGTGAGGAAGAGAAACTTCAGGATGCCTATTCCTTATCAGACCTAGAGAGCATCGATCCAGATTGCAGTGAGAGGACAACAGAGCTCCAAAGAGGAGACATAGAGGGAGGGCTCTAGGTAAAAGGATTTGAGACGCTACACTACATGTTAGATGAGGGGACTTGTGAAAAGAATTAAGAATATATATATTTTTATTTTTCTTGAAGATTTTATTTATTTATTCGACAGAGAGAGAGAGACAACCAGAGAAGGAACACGAGCAGGGAGCTGGACGTGGGGCTCAATCCTAGGATCCCGGGATCATGACCTGAGCCGAAGGCAGATGCTTAATGACTGAGCCACCCAGGTGCCCCAAGAATATATATATTTTTTAAATATTGCAAATGAAAAAGGGTAGTAATTTTTAACTCAAGAGAAAAGGAAAGAGCTGTATAAAGAAAAGAGAAATATTTATAGTATGCTAACTGGCTTGTCAGTGAATAATACACACACAGTCACACTGATGCCAGCACAGATTTAACTGAAAGTAGTAATGTAACTATATATTAGACGGGCAGGTGGATGAAGAAAAGGAGGGTGAGGGCAGTGTTGGAGGCAAAAACTTTGTCAGCAATAACAGGAAGTTGTTAGACAATGTCTAAAATGTATAAATTGAGGGGTGCCTGGGTGGCTCAGTGGGTTAAGCGTCTGCCTTCAGCTCAGGTCATGATCCCAGGGTGCCGGGATCGAGCCCCCACATCGGGCTCCCTGCTCGGCGGGAAGTCTCCTTCTTCCTCTCCCCCTTTCCCCTGCTCGTGCTCTCTCTCTCACTCATTCTCTCTCTCTCAAATAAATACATAATCTTTTAAAAAATAAAATTAAATATGTAAATTGAGAAATCCTCTACACATATTTAAATAATGTGGCAGTGTTGTGGGTTGTAGGATTGTTCCCAACTCCCTGGAAATAATCCGAGATGTATATACCCTTGCCCTTGGCCATATGCTTTGCAGCACCTCCCTGTAGGTAGAGAGTATTTCCTGCCCCACGGTAAGTCTCAGCTATGTGTCTTGTTCGAGCCAACGAGCCAACGGAACATGAGGGGAAGCAACAATGTACCAGCTCTGCAGACACTTTCTGAGGTACTGCATGTGTCTGCCAGCTCCTTGTCCCCTTCTCTCTGCCATGATGACAGTGTGCCCAAACAGGGGCTGCTCTTTCAGTCTAGGTCTTGGAATGACAAGACATGGGAAACAGCTGGAGCAGGCCTGCAACAGCCCACTAAATAGCTATCAACATGTAACATGAGTGAGAAATAAATGGTCAAGACGGTAAGATTCTGGAAAACTGGAGTTGTTTGTTACTAGAGAAGCTGACTAAATGGGAGACACTTTTTTTTTTTTTCGATAATTTATGATGTGTCTTGGTAACACCTGATTTTTTTAAAACCACGATGGATTTTTTTAAATTTATTCTTTTTAAAAAGATGCCTTCTGGGGCACCTGGGTGGCTCAGTCAATTAAGCATCTGACTCTTGATTTCAGCCCAGGTCATGATCTCAGGGTCGTGAGATGGAGCCCCATATCAGGCTCCACGCTGGGCATGGAGCCTGCTTGAGATTCTCTCTCTCCCTCTCCCTCGACCCTTTCCCAACCTCCCCACTCTTTCTCTTTCTCTGTCTCTAAAAAAAGAGAAGAAAAAAAGATGTCTTCCTTTAAAAATTTATAAATTAGCATTCTGATTGATAGTCTCTGGTGAGTAGGATTAGCATAAATCAGTCCTCAGAGCCCAAATACACTTAGGAGCACTAAGAAATTTAATTTCCTGAGCAGCAAAAGTGAGGCTCCAACAGGTAATCATGTAACTACAATAGAGATGTGCTTTAGCTAAAAGATCTCTATCTTACCTAAATTTCAAACTCTGTACTGCAAGTTCCAAAGTGACTGAATACATGAAAGAAACACTAATACCCAAGCAATACTTCTTAAGAGCTTCAAGCTTTCTAGTAATATCATCGTACACAAACAGACTTTTAAAATTTCTTTAATTTAAACTTCATTTATCCAAAAAGCACATTTCATGATACAGGGTTAAGTATTCAATTTTAAAATGTCTTAATGAACAAAAAAAGAAAATTATGAGATATTTCATCTAAATAATATGAAAATTTATCAAGTCATTTGGAAATATCTAGTTAGCAGAACAGTTTAATAAAAGTTTCCTGAATAAAAGTATATGAATGAATGAATGAATGAATGAATGAAGAGATGGATGGATGAGCTACCAAACTGATAATATGCTTGGCTTGAGACTTTGCTCTACTCATTAAAAATTTCCATGTGTTCACAAATGAAAAGTTTTTAGAAGACAACAAAGGCTTATTTTCATTTCACTGAATCTATGGTTATGAACACACAATAATGCTGCTATACTTCTTTTTTTAAATGAACTATAATTTAGATAGGCCTTTCCCATACCCATAAGACTGAATTAACAAGGTTTTATAGGAAACCATAATCTCAACCAAAGATAAAATATATATACATTTCGGGACACCTGGGTGGCTCAGTCGGCTGAGCGTCTGCCTTGGGCTCAGGTCATGATCCCAGGGTCCTGGGATCCAGTCCCACACTGGGCTCCTTGCTCAGTGGGGAGCCTGCTTCTCTCCCTCTGCCTGCCTGCCTGCCTTCCCCCTGCTTGTGCTCTCTCTCTCTCTGACAAATAAATGAATAAAATCTTTAAAATATATATATATATATACATTTTCACATCACTACATAATCTCTGAACTAAAGTAAGATTGTAAAGAATTAACTGGTTAAAGTTATCTATATGAATAAACTGAGTAACACTGGTTAAATTTTTTTAAAATAAATAATAAAGAAACAAAACCTATATTGTCTCTAAAAATATTCCAATCCTTGTCCAGTAAAAGGGATCTCTGCAATACCTTTGAAAAGTAATCAAGAGCCCGAAGCTTGTAGTGGCTGGTGCCATATTTTTGTAGTCCATCATGAGTCTGCAAAGTAATGCCTTCATGAAGGTAAAGGTGAAACAGCTCTGCCATGGGTCTGTGCAGGAGGAAGACCATATTCTCACCATGGCCTCTGAGGCCCTCAGAGACCTGCTAACTGTGCTCACCTCATCTGACCTCTTCCCATCTGTTCTAGCTACACCAGCAGTCTTCAGTCCAGCTCCTTGAAGGTTTCATGTTCCCTTCTTGTCTCATAAGAGTCTTAGCACTTGCTGTTCCCTCCACCTAGAATGTTCTCTAACCTCCTCTTCCCCCTCCTCCTAGGTACTCCCTCCCTTTGCTATAGATTACAGTTAAATGTCACTTCCTTAAGGACACTCTTCCTACTATCTCAGACCCGTTCAGACCCACCTATTATATGTGCTCATAGCCTCCCACACTTTTCTTTCACAGCATGATTCACATTTGACTAATGAGAGTATCTCCTCCACTAGACTGAAAGCTTCATGAAGGCAGGGACTATTCCTGTTTTGCTCACCAGTGTAGACCCAGTACCTAGCACAGCACCTAGCTGTTTAAAAGTACCAAGTACTAAAAACATATGTGCTACATGCATGAATGAATGAACAAAGTCTGAAAGGGAAGTAGAAAATGACAGATCACACAGGATACTGTGTGAGAGGCAAAATATTTCCTTTTGTTAAAGGAATTGTTTTAACCCAGTTTGAGGAAGAAAAATGTAAAGAAAGAGTGGTGACCCCTACTCTCTCTAAGCTTAGGAAACAAGTATTAATTTAAAATACAATCATCCTTCCTAGAGACTTAAGAACCTTGAATGGACCCATAAAAATGAAAGATATTTTAAATTTCAGATCCATGATTTGAAAGACATTCACAAAACAGCAACTGTTGTTTCTTTCATAATAAATTAATATGCTATATTTTTAGATTCAAATGATCATTGATTGATGTGATTTCTAGGGTCCCTTCCGAAGCTGAAATTATTCAAACCCATTAACCTTGCTTCAGAAACATAATTGGGATTTTTATGTATTTGGTGTACATTTTATCAGTGTAATACACAAATCAGTCATCTCTGTACAAATGAAGTAAGGAAACCTTACTAAGCTTTAATAAGCTAAGAGTAGTATAGGTCTCTTACTATTCGAAAATGAACTTGAAGGAAAGCACTAACTGATTTAGAAACAATGGGGGAAACAAATAGAAAATGCCTGCACTTACAGTTTTTATCAGCTGGTGACTTAAAGATTCTTTAACACAGTTTTGGCAGACCATCCCACTTGGCACTACCCTTTGTGTTCACACTAAATTCCCTGATGTATTTATTGGGATGGCACATAATGAGCAATTAGGAGATATAACATAAGTTAATTGCTATTCAGATTCTGAATATTCTCCCTTATAGACAAATCTCTGTAGTTTCCCTTATATGGTATGGAAAGAGCCAAAAGACAAAGGATACAGGAATAGAAGTTTTGCTTGTTAATTTTAAGCAGTATGTACTCCAAACAATTACCGTCCCCTACCAGTTAAAATGATTCAACACCTTTTCTTTGAAGGACAGGTTATATATTTCTGAGGTTTTTAAATTTTTCCTTGCTCTCTTCTCTCATAACAATGGCAGGAGAAAACCATGAAATTAATATTACTTGTAAGTATAAAAGAAACCTGAACACTGATTTGAGTCATTTTCTCATAGATACATACTTTGATACATAATACAAATGTTTCTTGTGCATTTTGAATAACTCTTGCTTCTTATAATAAAGATTGTATTTTCATGTCTTATTTATAAACTCTAGTTCAATGATTTTGTTAGCCACAGAATGATTTAATTTAATATATCCTATTTGAATTATAAACAAATATAGCTATGCAACAATATAAAGAAATTACAGAACCATCTAATTTCACACTTGCATTGAAGTTCACAGATGCGCTGAATTAACAAATGTGCAATTACTCACCTCACATTCTTCCTGGCAAGTATTTGGTCCAAAGTCAGTGAAAATCCTATACATAAAAAAATAAGTGAAAAACTGAAGAAGATTTTTCTTCCCATCAAGAAATGAATCAGTTTCTTCAAAGCAAGCACATCTGTTAATTCTTAAATGCAAACAGAGCAGAGGCAGAATTTTCCATGTCTTGTGACTGACAACATAGTCAACCAATAAAAAGACCATATTCCCAGGATATATTATGCATGGGAGAGGGTGAAGGGAGGGGCCTGATAGAGCTTAATTTAGAGTATAGAGTGAAAGCAGTGGGTCTATTTAGGATGTTTCTTATTCATTAAAGATTATTAGGGAGCAGAGTTTCAATTAACCTCTTTTTAGAAACTAGCATTGTTGTGATACTCTAACTCTTAATAAGAATCTCATACTGCTTTTCAGGAAGCTATTAAATTCGCCTCAAAAATCTACAAAATATACATGATTACATGCATTTTTCAGGTGAATAAATGAGTAAAAATCTCTGAAACTTACCTAATTTTACATATGTGTCCTACTTCACAGTTTCCTGTTAAATTCGTGACACTCCATGTGCTAAGAGATCTGGAATGTAATGGTAAAGAGCACTGACTTTGGAGTCAGACAGCCCTCAATTGCATTCCCAGCTCTAGTTTCCCCATCTGCAGAGTGGGGACAAAAGTGTTTTGCTCAAAGAACTGTTGCAAAGATATATCGAGGCCCTAAATAGCCAAATCTACCTTGAGAAAGAACAAAGCTGGAAGTATCACACCTCCTGATTTAAAAAACATATTGCAAAGCTACAGTAATTTAAACAGTATAATATTGCCGGGGCGCCTGGGCGGCTCAGTCGTTGGGCGTCTGCCTTTGGCTCAGGTCATGATCCCAGGGTCCTGGGATCGAGCCCCGCATCGGGCTCCCTGCTCCGCGGGAGGCCTGCTTCTCCCTCTCCCACTCCCCCTGCTTGCGTTCCCTCTCTCGCTGTGACTCTGTCTGTCAAATAAATAAATAAAATCTTAATAAATAAACAAACAAACAGTATAGTATTGCCATTAAAAACTGACATATGCGGCACCTGGTGGCTCAGTTGGTTAAGCGTCTGCCTTCGGCTCAGGTCGTGATCCCAGGATCCTGGGATCGAGTCCCGCATCGGGCTCCCTCCTCAGCGGGAGTCGCTTCTCCCTCTCCCTCTCCTGCGGCTCCCCCTGCTTGTGTGTGTGCTCGCTCTCTCTCTCTCTCACTCTCTCTCTTTCCATCAAATAAATAAATAAATAAAATCTTTTTTTAAAAATGACATATAGATCAACAGAACATAATACAGGCACCTAGAAATAAATTCACACATACACAGCTAACTGCTCTTCAACAAGGGTGCCAAGAATACACAATGGGAAAAAGGATAGTCTCGTCAACAAATGGTGCTGGGAAAACTGGATATCCACAGGCAAAAATTGAAATTGGAGCCTTATTTCACACGAGACACAAAAATCAACTCAAAATAGATTAAAGACTTAAAACCTAGAAGAAAGCAAAGGGAGGGGCGCCTGGCTGGCTCAGTCTTTAAGCATCTGCCTTCCGCTCAGGTCATGTTCCCAGGGTCCTGGAATGGAGCCCCATGTTGGGCTCCTTGCTCAGCAGGGAGTCTGTTTCTCCCTCTCCTCCTGTAGCTCCCCTGCTTGTACATTTGCACTCACTCTCTCTCGCTCTCTGTCAAATAAATAAATAAAATCTTTAAAAAGAAAAAAAAAGAAGAAAGCATAGGGAAAAGTTTCATGACACTGTTCTTGGCAATGATTTCATGGATGTGACACCAAAGCACAGACAATAAAAGCAAAAACAGACAAGTGGAACTACATCAGACTAAAAAGCTTCTGTACAGCAAAGGAAGCAATCAACAGTAAAAAAGGCAACCCACAGAATAAGAGAAAGTATTTGCCAAACATACATCTAACAAATCATTCATTTCCAAAATATATAAGGTACTCTTACAACTCAGTAGCAGAAAGAACACAAATTACTCAAGTTAAAAATGGGTAAAGACTTGAAAAGATATTTCTCCAAAGACGACATACAAATGACCAACATGTATATAAAAAGGTGCTCAATGTCACTCATCACCAGGGAAATGTGAATCAAAACCACAAAGAGATATCACCTAACACCTGTCAGGATGGCTATTATGAAGGAAGGAAGGAAGGAAGGAAGGAAGGAAGGAAGGAAGGAAGGAAGGAA